TGGGGGTGGTATTAGTCCTTGATTGTGAGGGCAGAGACTTCTTCCTAGGATACTTCAACACTGTAAAATATCACAAACTATTATACCCAGACCTGTGACCACAGAACAGAATGGCCCATAATAAGCAGTAGCTGTGAGCTACTCAGTGGAAATATCCGCACATCTACCTTAGTGTGGATTTCCTTGTGGGTGTTCACTGAGCTGGGCAACATCAAGTTGGAAGAGCTCATGTTTGAAAGCTCCATGTATATATTTCATTTTCTTGGAATACAGGAAAGTTTTCACAATGCAATCATGTGGACCAAGTTCAAAGTGTAGCCCCACAACACACACACACAAACACACACTCATCGTTGATTTAATACTCAACATCATTTGATGCCCAATCTTGTCAAAGGCTAGCTGAAATTCAGCTACTCACCATTCCTTCACCAACTCCAAATATTTGTTTAGCTGCCACCTTCCAACTTAAGCCATTTTTCCAGAAAAAAAAACCCCAAAACAAAAACAGAGTGCTTGGATTTAAACTTTATTATCAAATGTTCTGGAGACTACAGTGGCCTAAATAAAATAAACTCAAAAGATGGGCAGTCACAGGTGACTGGGAACATACTTCAATAAGGCTGCTGTATTAGTAGATAATTTACCTTTCTGCAAATCAGTGTTGACTCACTGGAAATTTAGTGTCAACTCATCATTACATTATGAGACATAAAGAGGTTTCACAATCACTTGTCTTTTTTTCTGCTTGATACTCAGTTTATTACTTTCCCTCCGACTTTGTTGAGTTCTTCCTGAAAGAGTATATTTTCTTAGCAACTGTCTTGGACAAAGCACGGTCATCTGTCGTGGTAAAGAGAATTAAGGCTAATACTTTTATCTCTGCTTCAGACTGCCAAGGGAATGTGAAGCATGTGTGGTTTCTCTTTTAGAAGGTTTGCTTTACTTGTTGTTTCTACCGTCCACTCCCATCATCCCCTAGTAATGACAATTATACAAAAAGATTTCTAAACCTGCTTCACATAATTTTCTGATGTAACACCCATAGGGTTATTACTAGTTATATTTTACGATATAGAGAAATTACAGACATCTAAACCGGATCTATATTTTTCTTTCATTCTACAAACCTGTGAAATGCTGGTGAGTTAAAACCCCAGAGGGTGAGGCTGACCAATGAAAGACAGGAAATGAGAAGGAACTTTGTCTAAATGCACTCCACAAACATGTAGGGAGCACCTAATATATCCCAGGCACTGAACCTGCTTATGATATTATGTGAACCTTTGACATAGGTCACACAGTGTTGTCTCTTTTTATGGTGAAAGGAAGTTTTTTTCTCTTTTATCCTAGAAGCTACTTAAAACCTGGAGTTAATGAGAATAAAATAAAAGAGCTCACTTACATGCACAAGGTTTTCAAACACAGCCATTTCTTTTAATGATAGCAAGTCTTAGAAATATTATGGGAAGCTACATGACTTGTTTAAAGTAAACAAGATCTCACCTTCCCATAATAGTATCAGGTGAAGAAGAAATCTTAGCGATCAAGTGTTTTACAAAGGCCAGAGACATTTCTTCAATCTATGAACCAACATAGGGATACAAATTTCTAATTTTTTTGTTTCCAATGACAGCATTCAAAAGTAAACTCAAACTACTATCACCATAATTTCATAATATAAAGAATATTTTAACCCAGTTAAGAAGGAAATTATCTCAGAATTCTTAAATTCTACTATAACTTAACATTATGAAAAACTCATTAAATATTTTTTCTCATTTCACTCCCACTCTAACTGCCGACACTAGCCCTTTCAGTAAAGCCTTAATGTGTGAATTTTGTCATAGACTGTTTCCTAATAAACCCATGCTTAGACAGTGTTATCCTTTTATCCTCATGTTAGAGATTAAGACAAATGAGACTTAAACAAGCTTGTCTAAGATCACATAGCCAGTAAACTGAATAATTGTATTTGCCTAACATGTCAGATCATATGCCATTTCTTGATGCTCTAATTAATGATTTCCGATAATATAGGGTCATTTAACTTAAAATAATAACTTATAAATATTTATTGATTTGTCTATAAACTGTGAATTTTGAGAATATATCAGACATAGGTGGTATATTTCTGTATTAAAATAAAACCAAATGACATAGAAAATATGAAGAGACAGACTGTCAGTAATAAAAATGAATCAGTAATTTTTAAAACAAACCCCCGACAAACAAAAGTCCAGGACCAGACAGCTTCACAAGTGAATTCTACCAAACATTTAAAGAGGAGTTAATACCTGTCCTCCTCAAACTATTCCAAAAATTGCAGAGAAAGGAACTATTTGAGCTCTGCTACATGTAATATGACTGAAAAAAATGATTCTTTAACAATCAGAGGATCTATTTTTTTCGCCTAACAAGAACTCCTGATGCAGGAAGTCCAGGCCTTATTTGGCAGCCAAATGACACTACTAGCAACCCAGGTTTCTTGTGTTTCTATAGAGACTTCCTTGCCATGTGGTTTTCATTTTCAAAAAAAAAAAACTTTTTTTTTGTGGTTGAAAAATGAATGCTCCTTTTCCAGCATCAAGTTCACAGTCTAAGTAGAATGGAGTAGAAAGGTGAAAGCAAAGAGCACATTTTAGCTGAGTGCATCTCCTTTTTAAAGAGCTTTCCCAGAACCCCTTCCTAAGGATTTCCAATGACGTCTTCTAATTACATGTGGCAGAACTCAATCCCTAACTGATTAGTGATGGAGACTTGCCTTTTTAAGTAAGTAAGTAAATAAATAAATAATAAATTAATTAATTAAAAAGGTGTTTGTATATTAAGGAAGTATAAGGGTATCAAGTAAAGACTTTGGATGCTTACATATAAACCCTCGGAATTGTCAAGAGTTGTAAGTAGGATGCCTTCCAAGGTGGAAACAGGGAGGGAGGGAGGGAAAAAAGGAAACTATGCACTTGAATAGAGAAAAAGGTTAAGAGGTGGACCAGATGGTAGATATTAAAAGTTGAAAGCATGGAACTCCAGCCATCAATGCCTAGACTGAATTAACATGGGTCTCTGAGTCCACGGACTGATGGAGGCTTTGCAACCAAGCATAGACTCAACCAACAGTATTCTTCAACTGCATATAATACTCCCAACATCTTCTCACACTGATATAAAGTTTATGTGTGAGTCACACATAAATTTCTGGTTTGGCACTTAGTGTGAAATGCAATGATTAGGACTGAAGTTACCAAGCAACATATTAGAAAATGGGTGGGATCAAAAACTTGCAGGACTTAGGGTTCCCTCCAGCCTCCTTTAGTAATTCATGCTTTAGTTTATTCTTCACTTATTTATTCAAAAACAAATTGATGCTGGGTGCCCAGTACATTTGGGGCACTGCTAGCAAAAGATGGAGATCGCTAAATACTGTCAAAGTATGATTTTCAAAAAGTTAAAAACATGATCTGCATGATCAATTTATTTAACTAATTTAATATAGAATGATCAATTTATCTAATTTAAGAGGGAGTCAGCAGAATCATAAAAATACTATCAAAAAGCATTTGAGTAACTGAAAATTTATAGAGATTAAAGAAGGAAGACTCGAGCAAAATAGCTAGGTTAGGTAGAAAACGAATAAACTGTCCTCTGCAGTTAAATTTTCTACTAGACTGGAATCTGCGTCTCTATTAAACAAAAATCTACCAGTTAAACTGTAACATGAAAGAGTTAGGGCTGTGTTCTGTAAGAAATAGAATGTTAAATACAGGCATTTTCTCCTTGATTATTAGGTAGATGTTGGGTAGGTCTATTGGTGTTCCAGGACGACACTGAAAAGATACTCCCCTTTGCCTTGTTTCTAAGTATCAGATAATTTTGAGAACAAGAAGCAGATTCTATAAACTGGTCTATTACAACTATATTTCCCCAGCTTATAGAAAGGTTTAAAAAAAAGGACTAGAGAAAATTAAGTCTTCAGAATAAATCACATACCTGGAACTTACATATGACACATTATTTAATTCTCACCCAACTAAGCAAAGTGGTTAAAACTAAGCAAATTTTAAAAATGGAAAAATTGAAGTGAAAAGCATTGAGATCACACAAGAGCCACTACTCTCAAATCCATACATGTCTGTTCGAACCTTTAAGCTCTTTCCACTAGGACACACGGCCACTCACGAAATTCAGATTTGCTGAGCCGTTCACTCAATGGTAAATTGGACAGCATTCTCTGATCATCTCCTACACACTCAGCATCTCGGGCCTGGCCCTGCAGTAGTGTTAAATGAAACAGGTTCTGTCTTCGTTTAGCCTCTGCCTCAAGCAACTCACCCTCTAAGGGGCCCCAGGCCTTCTTTTTAGCCAGTTGTCACCATGACCATTTCCGTCTGACATACACGAACAAAAAGCAAAAACAGAACAGAAACTAATTTGAAGTGGTTCCTTTCTCTTTTTAGAAGCATGTCCCTCCTTCTGCCACCTCAGCCCACAGATGCCCGCCCCTTTCACCCAGGGGCCTCTGCCATTTCCTGCTGCCTCTCATTTCTCCCTTCCAAAGCCATTTCACTCCCAGAGTTCAGAGCCGAAGAGCTTTCCCTGTAAGTCAGACAGACACCTCGCATGTTCTATTCAAAGGTTTCAGATGCCTCAAGGACCAGCAGCTGCTCTTGGGAAACCTGAGCCCGGAGCCCTTTCAAACTGTGGCTCCAGGAACGTCCCTCCCCTCTGGGGACAGGTGCCTGCCAAGCCTGGGATGGACAGAAAGCCAGCCCAGGCTAGAGCTCACTTTCACTTCGGACGCACGGCGGAGGAAGCCGTTCCTTACTACAACATGTTGCAGCCATGTGTCCCGTGCGAGCAGAATTCAGGCCACTCTCTTGCTGGTCATTCCTAATGGATTAGGTCATTGGTAAAACAGAACCCCAGGGCCCCCGGGTGCCCAAGTACAGAAGGGGTCCCTTTGGCACTGAGCAAGAATGCAAAACAGCAAGAGCGTGTACCTTTACAACGCATGCAGACCATTCCTTACTTCCTTGGAAACTGTGGTGAAACTCATTCGCTGCTTTGAGTTGCAGTGACATGACTGTGCAGTGCTTAAGTAGCAGGCCACGACATCCTAATCTTCTAGACCTGTAAGGACAGAAAAAAAAAAGAGGAAAAAAAAAAAGAAAATGGTAACTATTGAGGTGATGGATATGTCACATAGCTTGACTGCCTTGATTATTTCATAATGTGCAAATATATCAAAACATCCAGCTATACACCTTAAAAATTTCCAACCGCTGTCAATTATACTTTACTAAAACTGGGGAGAAAAGGTCCTATGTCCCATTCCCCGGCTTTCAGACAGGAATACCCCAGATCCATAACATTCAAATCAGAGAAATCTGGTCATAGCCCAAGAGAAGAGGAGGTGGAGGCTCCCACCTTTCCCCTTAATCACTGATTCCAAGGTTTAAGGATACTCTGCTGCCAAACACATTTTTCCTGGGGCATGAGTGAAATCCCTCAAACCACAGCCTAATAGTGTCTCCTTCCTCTTGTTTTGTATTTGTGAAGATGAAATATGACTAGTCAGTATCCACTGAAGTACATAACCCATTGCAAACACTTAAGCACAATCTTCTCTTCTCTAAATATTCTCAACCCCCAAATGTCTGAAATTATGCGGCTAGTATAGTTGAGCTGGGAAGTCGAACTAGAATTCAGGGTACTTACCTCTGTCAGCTGCCCGGGGGTCTGAAACAGGAGGCTCTAACTAACCCGTGGGAAAAGGCATCATTTTTACTTCCTCCAGAAGGACTGACAGAGCCAGGCCCACTCTTTTTTTTAAAAAAAAAAAACAGTTTTTTTTATTGAGGTATAGTCATTTTACAATGTTGTGTCAAATTCCAGTGTAGAGCACAATTTTTCAGTTATACATGAACACACATATATTCATTGTCATATTTTTTTTGCTGTGAGCTACCACAAGATCTTGTATATATTTCCCTGTGCTATACAGTATAATCTTGTTTATCTATTCTACATATGCCTGTCAGTATCTACAAGTTTTGAAATCCCAGTCTGTCCCTTCCCACTCCCTCCCACCTTGGCAACCACAAGTTTGTATTCTATGTCCATAAGTCTGTTTCTGTTTTGTATTTATGTTCTTCTTTTTTTTTTTAAGATTCCATATATGAACGATCTCATATGGTATTTTTCTTTCTCTTTCTGGCTTACTTAGAATGACATTCTCCAGGAACATCCATGTTGCTGTAAATGGTGTTATGTTGTTGGTTTTTATGGCTGAATAGTATTCCACTGTACAAATATACCACTTCTTTATCCAGTCATCTGTTGATGGACATTTAGGCTGTTTCCATGTCTTGGCTATTGTAAATAGTGCTGCTATGAACATTGGGGTGCAGTTGTCTTTTTGAAGTAGGGTTCCTTCTAGATATATGTCCAGGAGCAGGATTACTGGGTCATATGGTCCAGGCCCACTCTTATTTCTAGACCAAAGGCCAGGAGACAAGCGGAGACCCACATACCAATATCAATATATTTTAAAGGTACAAATCAAGCTGACAAACTGTTGGTTAAAATATGTTCTATCCTCCTTCCTTGAAAAGTATACCTTTATAATGACAAAAAGTTGAAAAATATTTTTAATACCATTAATTTTAAATGATTGAAAGTCAATATAATAACAAAGATAATTGAATTTAATTCAAGTTACAGTGTTCTGTTAGTAAGCTGCCAATGTCAGAATGAGTTCTAAAGTACAGGCATACAATTCATAAATTATGATTTTTTTCATGGAAATATTTCTTGCCTTTATATCAGCACATCGCTAATCACATTGTTAGAGATTTTTCCACATAATTTGGGTTCTACTGACAGCAAAACCAAATTAGACAAACTTTCTTGAGTCACCATAGTTCTTAGTTTCTTTAATTAAATTCAATTTAGAGACACTTCCCTCTTCTGAGGCAACAGCAGCTAGAATTGTCAATGAATTCTTTAAGCAATGCTTAGATTCAGAAATTAACCACAGTTCTGCATATTACTTTTAATGTGGTTACATATAATAAATTATTATCACAAAAATGTCATAAAATATCTTAATTGTATCACACAGGGCACAACTGCGTTGTACATTTAGCATCTCTTTATGAAACGTTCAAATTCCTAAGAACTGTGCTTCATTTCTCTCTCCTAGTGAATCTCATGTGCTATCTAAATTTAATTTCGTTGCTTTAAGGGCATTTAGTCATTATTCTCAACATGTGCCTGAAAGTAGTTATGAAATTGGACTTGATATGCGTTTCACCAAGATGAACCTCCATTGACTGGATCCAGAAAACATTATATATAATTTCTGAATTCTTCCCAATGTCACTGCTATGAGCTTCATTGCAACCATTCTAGTAACAAATTCAGGTTGATGTCCCTTATGTGGCATATAAAATATTTCTGTACTTCGGCCAACATTCTAATTTGCACACTTTTTTCTTTATCCACCAAGTTTGTGGCACTATCCTAGGCCTTTCTTGAGTGATCTTTTAATTACTTAAGTAAGCTGAATTTTTTTTGGAGAATTTGTTAAATTGTATTAAATATTCTTGTAAAAATAAAACTATTTGCAATCCTAGCTTCAGTGCTCATCTAATTGACAATATAAAAAATCAGTATCATGCTCCATATTCAACACATCTAGACCAATGCTGTCCAGCAGAATATTCTGCAGTGATAGAAATGTTCTACATCTGAACTGTCCAATATGGTAGCCATGCTCCACGTGTGGCAATCAAGCACTTGAAATGTGGTGAGTGCAACAGAGGACCTCCTGGATTTTTAATTCTGTTTAATTTCAGTTTATTTAAATCCAAACAGCCACATGAGATTATCTAAGACTACCGTACTGGACAGCATAGATCTTGATCTACATGTGAACAAATTTAAAAGTAATATGAATTTTTCACATTGCAAAATATGTCTCAGTTGCCACATTGTGCCAGTTATTGAATGCCCTCTTGCCCCTACCTGGAAACCATATTTCATTCTGTGAAATCTATTGACTTCATGCTACCTGGGAGGAAGTACTTCTTAATTAATTCATCTTTCTCTTTTCTAAGAGTTCGGCCACTCAAATGGTTTCCATGCCCTGATATAGTGTCTGTCTCCGCTACGTGGTCCCACCCAGGACAGAGATGTGAAGAAGTGTTTTGTTGAGGTGTGAGCTGTGTTTGTGCTACAAGAGATCTTCTAAAACAGAGCCTTAGGTCAAGGGCTCCTCTTGCCCAAATCTAGGATGAGGCATGTGGGTGAAAAGGAAAATCCTGAGTTGAAAAAAGAGGTGAGGAGAAGAGAAAAGAAAGTAGGACCCATAGATCGGTTCACCCCATCCTCCTCTTTGCTTTCTCTACTCAACATGCCCAAATATGGAGAAAAACGGTAGTTGGCAGCTTCTGACCACAATTTTCCTTCCATGGACATGTTCACTATTCTGAGGGAGGGGATCAGAACTTTGCATAATCAACATTCAGTAAGAAATAATTGATTACATGAACATCCATATACACCACCCCCACCAACACTAGGAGGGGCTTTGCAATTAGCCACTATTTGGGGTCCAATAATTTGACACATTTAGCTATAGTCCTGAGAAGACCTTGGCAAACTGCATCACCTCCTCGGAGTTCAGTTTTATCTGTAAATCAAGAAGTTTACATACTGGAAAACAGAACCCATCTTCTTGCTCTTCACGGGGGGTGTTATTATGTTCACTGTCTGGACTTCTAAGGGAATTGTTGGATCTGTCACATAAGATGACTACAAAAATAGTGTGTCCAGGCGCTCCTCAGTACAGGAACACTATTTTGGGGATACTGTATTTGTTTCCTAGGACTGCTGTAACAAAGTAGCACAAACTGAGTGGTTCAAACAACAGAAATTTTTTGTCTCACAGCTCTCGAGGCTGGAAGTTCAAGGTCAAGTTGTCAATAGGGCCATGCTCCCCTCTGAAGGCACCAGACAAGGATCCACTGCAGGTCTCTCTCCTAGCTTCTGGTAGTTCTTTGAATTGTGGCAGCATGACTCCAGCCTTCACATGGCATTCTCCCTGTGTGCCTGTGTCCAAATTTCCCCTTTTATTGGGAAAGACACCAGCCCTTATAAGATTATAAGACCCACTCTACTCCATTACGACTTCATCTTAACTAATTACAACTGTGATGACTCTGTTTCCAAATAAGGTCATTTATGAAGTTCTGGAGGTTAGGACTTCAACACTTGAATTTGGGAGGGATATAAATTAACCCACAACACACACATTTCAGATTTGTCTGTTTTCAAATATACTGCTACGTTGCATTCACATAGTACATTTTTCCTTTTCTAAAAACTTCTATGTATTTTCCAGGTAGACCATATATCATTTCTGTTTTACAGGTATGAGGTAAGAGGAGCCTAAAGAAGGTAAGTGACATTCCTAACTTTACACAGTTGTTTTCAGCCCTCGTTTCTGAGTACCCTGATTTCTAGGCTGGTGATTTTAATCCAAAATTACATTATATTGCCTCTTCTTTGTACATGATTTATTTTTCCAAAGCCTTTATTGCTACTGCTTTCATTCCTATCCAAACTGAATGTTTGAAAGCCACTTAGCCTTGCCTGCTTTCTGTGCCCATAAAAATTCCAACTTGGTCCTTTGTTATCATGTTTGGTCTGAAGAACAAGATGAATTATTCTCAGAGCTTGATGCTTGGTTCTGAGTCTTCTGCAGGCAAATTAGATGATTCCTGACTCTGAACCCCAAGGCAAGCCTTGGTTCCTTAGGGTCATGGGAGTATCCCTGGGCATCCAGCTGGTGGATTCTCTGTAATTCCCAGGGTCAAACCATAGAGATGGTAGAGGAAGCCTAAGATTGGAAGTTAGGCAGGATCTGGCTAAAGTTCCACCATGGCCACATACTAGTGATAAGTAACACCTCAGACTTAATAACATAATCTCTGTAGCATAATAGGATTCATCAAAATGCATACAACAGCACTCTATAAGTCATAAAGCACTATACAAATGTTAGTTCTTCATGTGAAGGTAGATACACCTCACCACTGGCCCACTGAGTATCTGATCTAGTCTTT